TTAATTATTGACCAATATTAATTAGACAAATATGATTTCTCCTTTAATATATTATTCTTATAACATATTAATAAACCATATTATCCTCTCTCTATATATATTTCTCTAATCAAGTTGCTTTGGTGAAGGCAACCCAAAAGGACCATGCACCATCGGGTCAAGTACATACCAAAATAGTTATGGACTTAGACACTAATCTAACACATATCACATAAACTTACCAAGATAATTATCAAATAGACATTTATCCACCAAATACCCCTGATGGTGGTCCGGTATTATGGCCTTAGACCCAACCCTACTGGAAGGTAACTCACCTCAATGTCGTGCAGTGTCTGAACTATCTTCAGCGTACAAGTCGACTACCCATGACCCATTGATCCCAACACGACAATACTTCAAAGTTATTCATTTAAGTATGCAAACCTAACCGAGGTCATACCCATCTAGTCAAAGTCAACATTGGTCAAAGTCAACTTCCAGTTGACCAGACTCGCTGAGTTGGTCTACTAACTCGTCGACTCCATACCCCTCAACTTGATGCAAATCCCCATCTCCACTCGTTGAGTCTAGCAAGAACTCGATGGTTTCTTCTTTGATCATACCCTCAGGGCCAACTTCATCTGACTCGTTGAGTTTACCTTGAACTCATCGAGCCCACCTCCCTCTTATAAACACGTCCAGTCTACGACTCACCGAGTTGTGTGAACAACCCGTCGAGTCCTTTGGAGATTCCCTTGGACTCGCCGAGCAAGCTCCAAGCACTCAATGAGTCCCATGAATCCCAAGCCTTCTAATGAGCTTGAACAACTAAGGGACCTTCCTTGCTCTCATCTGGTCCTTCGACAAAAGGATTTGATGGTTATTACGCTCCGGCTCGTCGAGTCCCAAGAATGACTCGCCGAGTTCACTCTTGACCATCACCATACAGTCGATCTAAAGGGGTCTTAACACACGAAAACCATAAATCTGGCCTCCTAGTGCCCATTTTACATGTAAATTCCCGAACTTGATGCAAATGCAAGGGGTTTTTTGGCTCAAAAATCCAAAAGAAGTGACCTACAAGAGGCATGGGACTCTCTTGGCCATAAAGTTGGCACCTTTATGCCATGAGACCCCTCCTAAGTCCCAGATTTGAAGTCAAACCCCATTCAATCCCTTCATAATCTGAAAATGGCTTAGAAAGCCCCCAAAATCCCAACTCCAAAGATGCATAATCACATAGAAGACCAAGACAAGAGATTTTTACCTTGAATGAACTGGAAATGGAACAAATCTCATGGACCTTTAAGCCCCAACTTGCACTCCCTAGCTCCTTTCCTCTTCTCAAGCTTCACAACTCACCAAAATACACCAAAATGGCCTTAGAGCATACACACAAGGCTATGGTTTCGATATACTATCTTATGGGAGTGATAGGGACGAAGGAGGCTGGGATAAGTTGTTTAAATAGGGTGCAAACCCTCAGATTTAGGGTTTCACTCAAACAGTACCTACTCGTCGAGTCAGGCTCCTGACTTGTTGAGTAGGCCACTTAAACTCTTCCGCGGTCACGACTCTACTCGACGAGTTGGGCCATCAACTCGTCGAGTCCCAGAACGAATACAACAAACCTTGAATTAAATACATACCAGGAATCAGGTGTTAAATCTTAAAGGAATAAACGGCTAATTAACTTATTTTGACACATTCACCTAAGCTTCTTAGGTCCCCTCCTCCTATTCTATAGGTTAGTAGGAGTTGGTTTTCTTGCATGAAATCCATAATATAGCACCACATGCTTCTCATCTGAATTGACGACTATCATCACCACTTGTTATCACAAGTGCAACTCGGGTTTCTTGGGTTCCCCTCCTGTTTGGTACAAAGTTATCTGTGTATGACTTTGTAAATGTTTGACTTTTGTAGACCCACTTCCATGTGGTAAATTAGCCTTGTGGCACGAGAGAGAGAGAGAGAGAGAGAGAGAGAGAGAGAGAGAGAGAGATGTAAACACCTCTATATAAGGTGGGTTCTTACCACTTGTAGAGGTGAGCTTGAGAGATGTAGTTCATAATAATTAGTGAGTGAGGTATTTATGGCGTTCTAGATCTAGTTCCTTTTTTGTACTCATTTACTATGATCGAATACACCTTTTAGCACCCAAATCACCGTGTTCTTTAATTCTGCATGCCAAATCAATGTTCATAATTCACATCAATTGGTATCAGAGTGGTTCTTCGAAGATCAACATGATTTTTTGAAGACACAGTTCTCGATTTGGCTAAATTCGTCACAATTGGAGTATTTATGGTAAGTCTCTATTTGATCTCTCTAAATCTCATTGATTCGTGCGTTGCGTTCTTGATTTTTGATCATTGTGATTCATTAGATCATTTTTTTTTGAAAAACCCATTTATTATTATCCAATATATTTTTTTCACTGATCTAGCCCAAAGTTTTGATCTGATAACATCATATTTGAGCCCATATTTCGAATCTATTCATGATCCATATCAAATATTGATTTGTATTTAATTATGGAGCCCAAAACGAATTTCATATATTTTACTGTTCATCCGATTTAATTCAATTACTCAAATCAGTTGATTTTTGAATTCTTTCTTTACTTGTCATCGAATCCAATCCATATTCAAAGCCCAATATCAAATCTAATGGTCCATCATTGTTTATTCAAAGTTGAGCCCAAATTCGTTCCAATTATATACTGACGGACTTGATTTTTGAATATCTTAAATCGATTCATTCAAATCTGATTTTGATTTCAAATCGAAATCAAATTAAACATGTTCTTGGAATTACTTGGAGTCAAAATCATTTTCAATCGTTGTGGTTGATTGTATGTGTATGTGAACAAACTCACAGAGATTGTTAAGTCGAATCGAGATAGTTGAAAGTCAAAGTTGGTTTTTTTCACTTGCGTCCGTTTTGTTCGCTTCCAAATATCGTTGATTGAAATGGTTGATTTTGATTGGAGTCAATTCTTGTATTCGATTTGGTGATTGTCGATTGTTGAATGAAAAGTAAAACAAAAAGTCAAAATTATTGTTCTTGGTGTCGAACATACGTTTCTAGTTCATATTTTGAAACTGATTTGGAAATCGAAGGACGTCTGATCAATACTAACTTAGATTGATGAAGTACAGGATTCAAAAAAAGTTAATTTTGATGTTTATGAACGATTCGATTATTTCAATTTTTGTTGACTTTTGGAGTAAAAATTAATCTGATTACTCTGGCTGTATTTCGATGAAGATGGTCTATAACCAGTCAAATGGTCAAATTCGGTTTACTGATAGTCAATAACGAAAGTCTAACGATGACTGGAGTGATTTTGATTTTGAAAGGTTGTTAATGAAACGAGAGATATAATCGAATGGTTGGACTGGAAAAGCGAAGGTTGTTTGAGCTTTGAGGTTTGATTGTTACTATGGACTATGGAAGACAAACAGATGGTTGATGAAAACTTGTAAAAGCGAAGGTCAACAGCTTGAATTTTTTTTTTATCGATTGAAAACTTGGGATCGAGGGTCGATGGTCTATGGATGATCGCAGGGTTGGAAAACAAAGAATTGGATGTTGATTGGTCTTGGTCAAAAGCAAAAGCCATCAATCGATTGAAAATTTTGGTTTGTTTTAATTAAATTTTAAAAAGTTTTATTCTTCTATTTTATTTTTATATTATATTATTTTATTTTCTTAATTTTAAACTTTTCGAGAAATTTGTTAGGTGCATTTAATGCATTAATTTTTGTAGTTTTAAAACATGTTTTTCAAATAAAATTTCATTTAATTGAGTTTTATTGTTATTATTTGAATTGAATCAATTAAATGAAGTTTTTTTTGAAGAACATGTTTTGAAATAGCATAGAAAAAGGCAGCTGCTTGGAACTACGACGGTGATGAAATTTGAGGGCAAGAAAGGTTCAAGTTTGAAGAGATTTGTTAGGTCCCGTATTCCTGTGGACCGATCTTGGTTACTCTATACTATCTTTAGTGTATGAAATATCAGTAATTTGAGTTTTATTGTTATTATTTTATCCCATTATTTGTTGGTTTGACAACCAAACAGTCTCACATCGTGAGCCTTAAATGAGCTTGGTCAAAAAGTCAACAATCACTCGCCCGAACCAATCCAACTTCAAACTACCATAACTTCTTCGTTTCAACTCCGTTTTAACGTTCTTTATATCCACGGAAAGGTGGCGAGAAGCTCTACATATCTATAAACTTATCTTCCCCTCAAAACCTTCTCAACGAAAATCCAAAATTCATAAAGAGATCAAAATGCTACTTTACCGATTTACCCCTTGGCTCCAAGATGCAAAACTGTGTACGAAAACATATGTTTTATACAAAAACATATTTTTAAATACATAAATTTTTTTTTTTACGTAAAATAAATACATAAAAATACATACAAATTGTTTGTAAGAAACTATTTTTTTTTGACAAAACTGCACAAATGGTCCCTGTGGTATGTCGAAAAATGTCACTTTGGTCCAAAAAGGTTTGGACTAGCGTCAGTGGTCAAAAACTTTCATTTTGTTGCATCTTTGGTCCAATGTGTTCAGATTATTTTCAAAATGACGAATCTACCCCTTTCAATATGATTTTCTCTTTTTTCTTATTTGTTTTTCTGATTTACTAATTTAAAAAAAACAAAAAACAAAAATAAAAATAAAAATAAATCTCTTTCTAAAACAAGAAAACAAATCTCTCTCTCTCTCTCTCTCCATTGTTGGAAAAAATAACCTCACCATCTTGCCTCTTTTTCCCTCCCTCTCAATGAATTATTGTCAAGGATCGAAGAGGGAATCAAGGGCAGTCAAGGGCTACCACCCTCGACCACCCGCTACCACCGTGACCCACCACCATCTAATATCCCCTGACCTCTAATCTATTTCCCCCTCCTTCTTCGTTTTTTTTTTCTGAATTGATAAAACCACCAATGAAGGTGGAGACTTTCCAGCAAGGAAGACAACCTGCAGCCACAAATTTCAGCCGCCACCGAGCCCTCTCCAAACCCATTCACTTTCTCCACCGATTCTGACCCGATACATAGTAACCAGAGTCGCTGGAACGGACTCTGACCACCACATTAGATCACCGCTGCCACCTTGCTGCTCATCGTCGATTCCGACCAGATACAAAAGGGCGTAGGGGACTTCAAATTAACCCATTCGTTTTGCAAGGCGAAGAACAACAGCACAACCATGAATGTCGTCCCTGCATCCAACACCGCCGATTAGAAAAATCCATATCAAATTTCTAAACAAACCTCCAGAACCAAAGATTCTCTCAGGTCCGATGACTCCCCAAATCACAAAAGTATCAAATGTAACTTTGAATTTGGGGGATGTCCATGGAATTTTAGGATGAAGCCCTGCGAGATTCATCATCCCTACAACTAGGGTTCCGACGAGCTGAGTTGTGAACATGCATCGAGGTGGGATCTTCATGTGGTGTCAAAAGGTTGGTGGTGTCCGATGGGATTCCAGAGCAGCGGCGACGGAGGGCGGCAATGGCACTCCTGCTGCTTTTGCTTTCCTGTTCCGACGGGTTTGACGAGAGAGAGAAAGAGAGAGAGAGAGAGAGAGAGAGAGAGAGGTGGGGTGGGGTGGGGTGGGGTTTGGAGGGTTATTAGTTGTATATTTATTTATTTTAATCTGAATATCAGAAAAGCAAATAAGAAAAAAAGAAAATCATATTAATAGGGGTAAATCCATCATTTTGAAAAAAGACATAATAGATTGGACCAAAAACGCAACAAAGTGAAAGTTTTGGACCTCTAGTGCTAGTCCAAACTTTTTTGGACCAAAGTGGCAATTTTGAGCAAACCACAGGGACTATTTGTGCAGTTTACTCTTTTTTTATAATACGACTAAAATACATTTTTGTTTTATTTGAAAAAAATTATATAAAAAAAATCTTTTTTTTATTTATTTTTTATTTATGTATTAACGTTTTCGTTATATTATATACCGGTTTTAGGAGATTACAACCATGTGAGCATTTAGCTCTAGTGGTTAATGCTTGGGAATGTAAAGGGGAGGTTGCGTGTTCGATTCTTCCCAATTTCTTTTACAAGATGAAAATGCACTTTCAGATTAAGTCTCTAACAGATGAACACTAACAATGTTAGTAAAAAGGATCATCTTTGCAAGTTTTACAAACCACAAGGATCATTTACATCAAAAAAAATTAACAAAGACTGACTTTTGACAAACCACAGTGACCATTTTTGTAATTTTGTCATCTACAAACCTAAGTTGCCATTAAAGAACAGAAATTTAGTGACGGGTGGATTAGCAAAAAAAAAAAAGGGTAAGCGTGGCTTTTTTCTTCAAACAGTAAGTTATAATCAAAAGTCAAAACCAGTTAAAATATGATCGAGTGTAGTAGTATGGAGTGTAGTTATAAAATGCCAATTTTTTTATCGATTGAAAACTTGGGATCGAAGGTCGATGGTCGATGGATGATCGCAGGGTTGGAAAACAAAGAATTGGATGTTGATTGGTCTTGGTCAAAAGCAAAAGCCATCAATCGATTGAAAATTTTGGTTTGTTTTAATTAAATTTTAAAAAGTTTTAGTTTTAATTTTCTTTTCTTCTATTTTATTTTTATATTATTTTATTTTATTTTCTCAATTTTAAACTTTTCTTGTTTTTTTTTTTGAGTAAGATTGGAGAAATTTGTTAGGTGCATTTCATGCATTAATTTTTGTAGTTTTAAAACATGTTTTTCAAATAAAACTTCATTTAATTGAGTTTTATTGTTATTATTTGAATTAAATCAATTAAATGAAGTTTTATTTGAAGAACATGTTTTGAAATAGCATAGAAAAAGGCAGCCGCTTGGAACTACGACGGTGATGAAATTTGAGGGCAAGAAAGGTTCAAGTTTGAAGAGATTTGTTAGGTCCCGTATTCCTGTGGACCGATCTTGGTTACTCTATACTATCTTTAGTGTATGAAGTAGCAGTAATTTGAGTTTTATTGTTATTATTTTATCCCATTATTTGTTGGTTTGACAACCAAACAGTCTCACATCGTGAGCCTTAAATGAGCTTGGTCAAAAAGTCAACGATCACTCGCGCGAACCACTCCAACTTCAAACTACCATAACTTCTTCGTTTCAACTCCATTTTAATGTTCTTTATATCCATGGAAAGATGGCGAGAAGCTCTACATATCTATAAACTTATCTTCCCCTCAAAACCTTCTCAACGAAAATCTAAAATTCATAAAGAGATCAAAATACTACTTTACCGATTTACCCCTTGGCTCCAAGATGCAAACCAAACTCCCAAATCACCTCAATTATATTATATGTACCTAAATAGGTCTAGATCTCTCTTTTTCAAAGGCCCTAATCCTTATGATAATCTATCTCCATGCCGAAGTCCCGAATTAGGTAAGCGATTCGGAACAGGTCGTTACATTAGATTTCATATTTATGGATTTGGGGGTTGAAGTGTAATTTTCTGGGGTGATTTTGTAAAGATTTTCAGAAGGCAGTGGATGTTTGGTAAATATTGGAGTTAAGTTGAAAAAGATTTTGTGGAGGAGGGCCAAACCTGGAAAAATGATCATATGTTTGAAAGAGTACATGAGATTAAACTTGTTGCCTTTCGCCCTCGTTTTCTTTGTTATCAAAGCCTAACCCTAGCTTCATTCTCTAGCCACCACCATTTTTGGAGTCTCCTCCAACCGCCGTTGCCATCAACTTCAACTATCGCCTAGAACCACTGAGAATCCATTGGTGCCTTTGCTACTGGCGATACCGAAGACCGACGGGAACCTCAGGATGATGTCGCGTCATATTGGAGATCGGAAGGGCCGAGTCGATGTTGTGGTTGTCTCTGTTGTCACTCACGGTCGCATCTCTTCTTCACCGTTCCTTGGTTGCTACGCCCCAACCTACATTTCGTCACCATCGTAGCTCCAAGCGGCTACCTTTTTCTATGCTTCGGTTGCTGCCTTCCACTCGAAGTGGTTGTGATGGGTACGCGATTCAGGATAAAATCCGTGCTGTGTATATGTTTGTGTTGTTTCTAGAACCCGTGAAGTGTGTGGGGGTGTTATGTTAGCCGGAGTTGAGGCGAACCACCATGGCAGCCAACCATGGTGGTTGCCATTAAGCTGCCTTCTTTTGCTGCCACTAGCCACCATGAAGGGTGGTTGTTGGTGTGTGTGTGTGTGTGTGTGTGTGTATGTAAATGATGTTCAGCTTGTGTGTGTTGGTGTAACGCCTATGTTTCTGGGCTTGCCATTTTTAGCAATGTAATAGTCTAGGTTAACCTTTCTAATCCGTTTTGAAATAATAGAAGTGTATTATTTGAGTATTATGTGTTTTGTGCTTAATTGCTTAATTATGTGGTTTGATTAATTAAGAATAAAAATAAGCGTCAAAATTTAAGTATAAAATAAACTTGATATCTTTAGATAATGTTGTAGTAGTTGAAACAAGGTTTCCGAAGATATAAAGAATGCCGAAATCCGAGTTATGACGAAGAAGTTATGACCTGTCGAAGTTTCGCGACAAAACCGGCACCGCTGAATGACGTAAAAAGTGAAATTTACGTTAAAGCGATATTTAACTTTAGTGATCTAAACGAGAATCGAAGATCTCGTTGTTAGTATCAAAGCGATAAAAAGTTAGGCGAGAATGGACGTCAAACGAAGAAGTTATGAATTTATAACGAAATTTTCTGTCCCGGCCTATTAAAAATAAATAATAAAAATAAATTAAAATTAGCCGACGTAGTCTAAATGAAAGTTGTAGAGCGTAGTCTCACCTTCGCGTGGATATAAAGAACGTCGAAAACGGAGTTCATATGAAGAAGATATGAATTTTCGAAGTTTATTAAATAATTAATAATTAAATTTAATTATTAAATCCGACCTTATCCGAAGACGAGTCACCGGACTCATCCGGAGTACGCCACCGCAGTGACGACTTCGGAGGCATGTACGCCCCGCATACAGGCGTACGCCCTGCGTACTGGGAGGTTCCAGCCTCCTATAAATAGGATGCAAGGGGTCCGGGCATAATTGCTCATTTCTCCTCCATTTCGTGCCGAAGCTCTGCGTTTTTACCCCCGAAGCCCCGGTAATATTCCCGAGTCCCAAAGCAAGTCCTGAGATCCCGAAGATCCCGAGAAGTGCGGTTCCCGAGCCGAAGCTCTGCCTGCGAGAAGTTCGATTTTTGTAGAGATCTTTCAGATCTGCTGAGGATTACTACTTCTACAAGCTGTAGTGCTGTCCGATCATCTTCTGATCAAGTGAGTGTGTAGTTAAATTCTTCTAACGCTTAATTATGAAGTATTTTATACGAAATACGTGTTATGTGTATAATTTTGTTGTTATGTGCGTGAATGTATATTCACTCTCTTCAATCTCATAGATCTGATTTGTTTTCTATGAAATACGTGTTATGTGGGTATGCCTCATCTGTTATGTGAAATATGTATTGGATGAAAATGCTATATAGGTTTTAAACTATGTATAAAAATATATATTTTTATCTACTAATATGTTGGGTAGAACATGGGTAGATAGTTGGTGTGTAATAAACAGATGAGAGGCCTCGATGTTGTTGTTGTTGACCTAGTTATTCAGCGGAGTATGGATAACGACCACAGACTCCTTCTAGACAGTCTCGTGGAACGCTAGCAGGTTCATAACCTGTAGGTGTTGTGAACGATGTGTTCACCGGTGTACTCTATCCCCCTCATGGTTGCCTTTAGGATATCTATTGTTGAGGAAACCCCTTAGCAGTAATGTCCGTCCCGATGAAAATCCTAGATTAGGTCCCTTGAGATAGATGTTGTTTTAGGGACGTAAAGTGAGGATAACGGGAATGGGTAATCGGGATAGTGATTGGTTGGTGAAATTAAATATAATTTATTTATTGTGGGTTGAAAACCCTATATGCTCACCAGGCTTCCAAGCCTGACCCACTCAGTTTTATTTGTATTACAGGAAGTGGCGCAAGGGCGTAAGATGGATGAATCATCGAATTGTTTTGTTTACAAGTCTGTATATGTATATATTTGTTGAATGACTTGTAATGTTATCGTTTATGCTTATTGGTATGTATCGGAACATGACACCCCGAGTTTTGATTATATAATGAAAATACATTTCTTTTATGAAATGCTTTGGTAAACATTGTTTTATCATGTTTTGTTTTTGGGAACAAATTCCACAACTCTTTCAAATCAAAAGGATTTACTCTGAAATTATTTTAAAAGCATAAATGAAAATCGGTCTTTTCTGGCCGAGATTTTGGGGATGTCACAGTTGGTATCAGAGCATTAGTTTAAGCGAACTAGGAATTTGTAGGATTTCTAGACTTAAACTTAGGGATGCTAAGTGGAGATTGTGAGATGTGTGTCTGATAAATTTTAGACACGAGCACTAGTTTATTTTAGGAAAGTTGCCTAAAATGCTTTTAT